CCTCCTTTTGGCCACATCTGGAAGAGGAGAGAGAATGGTGTGGGGCCTATTATTGAAACCTTCAGAACAGGCCACATCAAGCCACAGGGGGTGGGGGATGGGACTGACCTGAGGTCACCTTTCCCAGTGAGTGGACGTCATCGCTCATGCGGAAATGCTGTACTTCAGGGGGCCGCTTCTCAGGGACTGGGGGCTGTGGGCCAAGAGGGACCAAACTGAGGGTCAGAGAGCACCTACGGTTCTGTCTGGGTTAGCCTGGAGCCTAGGCAGGGGTGGATTAGTGAGCCGCACTTCCAAATGCCATCTGAGGCTCCAGTAGCCACAAGGTGGCAACCACAGGTGCTATTTCCCCAGAGGAAGAGTGTCAAGCACACTCACACTCACTTACCTCTGTAACCACGCAGAGCAGGCCCTTTTCCATTTTACAGGTGAGAAAACAAAACTCAACAAAGTTAAAGGCCTTTTATATGTGGCCATGTACACAGCAGGACTATTCACAACAGCTGAAGTGCAGAAGCAATGCAAGTGCCACTGACAGATAAAAGGATAAGCTAAATGTGGCATTTATATACAATTACATATGTGTATAACATTCAGCCATAAAGAAGAAAGATATACTTTTTTTTTTTTTTTTTTTTTTTTTGAGGCAGTTTTTTGCTCGTCGCCCAGGTGGGAGTGCAATGGGGTGATCTTGGCTCACTGCAACCTCCACCTCCCAGGTTCAAGTGATTCCCCTGCCTCAGCCTCTGGAGTAGTTGGGATTACAGGCGTGTGCCACTAGGCCTGCATAATTTTTTGTATTTTAGTAGAGACAGGGTTTCACAATGTTGGCCAGGATGGTCTTGATCTCCTGACCTTGTGATCTGCCCGCCTTGGCCTCCCAAAGTGCTGGGATTTTAGGAGTGAGCCACGGAGACTGGCCTTAACCATTTTTTTTTTTGAGACGGAATCCTGCTGTGTCGCCCAGGCTAGAGTGCAGTGGCGCGATCTCGGCTAACTGAAACCTCCACCTCCTGGGTTCAAGTGATTTTCCCGCCTCACTGCTCCCCGACCCCCGTAGCTGCGATTATGGTGCCTGCCACTGCACCTGGATAATTTTGGTATTTTTAGTAGAGATAGGGTTTCACCATGTTGGCCAGGCTGGTCCCGAACTCCTGACCTCGTGATTCACCTGCCTCAGCCTCCCAAAGTGCTGGGATTACAGGTGTGAGCCACTGTGCCAGCCTTAAACATTTTTTTAAACTTCTTTTAGAGATGGGGTCTCGCTATGTTGTCCAGGTGAAAGGAACGAAATTCTGGCATGCTACAATATAGATAAACCTTGAGAACATTATGGTAAGTGAAATAAGCAAGTCACAAAAAGATAAATACTGTATGACTGCCAGGTGCAGTGGCTCCTGACCTCAGGTGATCCTCCTGCTTCAGCCTCCCAAAGTGCTGGGATTGCGGGGGTGAGCCATCGTGCCTGGCTAAAAATGTTTTTTAGATGGCAAATTTTATGTGACACTAGTTCCCTCTTATCCAGTTTCTCGGCAGTGATGGTAGTGTATTGTTAGAATTGTGCTTTTTTTTTTTTTTTTTTTGAGTCTTGCTCTGTTGCCCAGGCTGGACTGGAGTGGCATGATCTTGGCTCACTGCAATCTCCGCCTCTCGGGTTCAAGTGATTGATTACAGGTGCACGCCACCAAACCCGGCTAATTTTCTATTTTTTGTTTTTAGTAGAGATGGGGTTTGGCCATGTTGACCATCAATTCCAGACCTCAAGTTGATCGCTGGCTTCCGCCTCTGAAAGTGTTGAGATTACAGGCAAGACACACCCGGCCTACTGTCATGATTATGCTATTTTATTATTATTGTTGTTAATCTCTCACTCTACCTCATTTATAATTTTTTTTCTCTATTATTTACAAAATGAACTGCAACTATAAAAATTAAAGTTTATCATAGTGAGAAAAGAAAAGTAGCTCATAGCAATCTGTACTATGTGAGGCAGGCAAAATTGCAGGCTCAGAAAGGAGTATGCAACACTAGGCCCCTTGCCTGGGGGCAATGGCTTAAAGGTATAAACCTGACTAGTGTGCTGCTTCACCCATTATCTTCAAGTACCTAAAATCTGTGAGACAAAGAACTATGTATAGCATATCAATAGCTGTTATTCTAATGTAAACTTCTGGTAAACAATTTAGGAACTGCCTTTTCTTTTCCTTTTTTATTTTCTCAATTTTTTTCTTTTCTTTTTTTGAGACGGAGCTCAGTTGCCCGGGCTGGAGTGCAGTGGCGCAATCTCAGCTCACTGGAATCTCCGCCTTCCGGATTCAAGCAATTCTCTGCCCCAGCCTTCCAAGTAGCTGGGATTACAGGCGCCTGCCACCATGTCCGGCTAATTTTTTGTATTTTTAGTAGAGATGGGGTTTCACCATCTTGGCTAGGATGGTCTTGAACTCCTGACATTGTGATCCACCCACCTCGGCCTCCCTTGCTGGGATTACAGGAATAAGCCATCACGCTCCGCCTATGTTTTCAATCTTTTAAAAAACTTTTATCTCTCTCTCTCTCTCTCTCGTTCTTTTTTTTTTTTGTGGCTCCTTCCAGAGCAGAGCTAACCTAACTCCTAGGCAGTGTGCCCAGAGTCAGCCTCCTTTATTTTTTTCCACCAATATCTTCATGTCATCCAATTTTCTTTTGCTTTAAAAACCTACTTGTGGGCTGGTTTCGGTGGCTCACGCCTGTAATCCCAGCACTTTGGGAGGCCAAAGCAGGAAGACTGCTGAAGCCTAGAAGTTTGAGACCAGCCTGGGCAACATAGTGTGACTGTCTCCAAAAACAAAACAAAAAATCCCACTTGTAACTGCTGCTAATCAAAGTGCATTTTCAGGGCAATTTGAATCTTTGCTCCTGAAGGCTATACTCAAAACTGGCCTAAATATACTCTACTTAATGTTAAGTTTGACTCAGTCTTTTCCTTTAGGTCAACAATAGGTATGAGCAAGAGTCCTAGCACTTGGTCATAAAGGTTCTGGGCCTCTGCGGCCTTTGTCACTTCCCCTCCTCTATTATTTCTGTGGCCCCCATCTCCTTTCCTACTGGGATTCCCAGGAAAAACTTAACAAATAGAGCAGTGACCGCTGAGTTCCCCAAGGGCTTGCTTTGAGTTAGAAAGGAAGAGTAGTTTGAAATTCCCTTACCTTGTCATTATCATGAGTAATTAAGACATTAACTATATAATTGACTCTTTAACATCAAACTCTCACCACCCAAGAATGTAAACTGCGGGAAGAGAGGAACCTGTCTGTTGGTTCACAGATTAAGCCCAGCCTAATATTTGACACACAGTAGCCCCTTACTTAAATATGTGAATGTGTAAATGGCGTAGAAGCCTTAGTGAAACTGTGAAAGAGCTTACCAAAGGTTTATGGTTGATTATCCCAATCTCTCCCATTCCACTCACCTGTCCATTTCCTGGTTTGGACATGGTTTTTCGGGCTCGGTGGACCTTGGGCTGCCCCTCTGGGCTGGTGGTGGCTGGAGGGGGTTCAGGCCCTGCTGCTGCAGTTCCCTGGGCTCCCGGCATACTCAGCAGCCTCATAGCCAAACTCTGGACAGATGGAGGTGATTTTCCTGCCCCTGTCATTGACATTTTGGCCCGGCTAGGACAGGAACCCCCCTTGCTGGGGGAAGAGGGGAATGACTTTGTGGCATGGCCTAGAAAACAGGCAAACAGAAGGCAAGATAAGGACTTCGGAGTCAGAAATTTCCCACCCACCCTTCAGGCTACCCAGCCTCTCACCCAGCAGGATCCGGCCCCCATGGAGGTCCCCATCTCCCTCCAGATTCTCGGGTTCATCCCCAATGAGTGGTGTAGTCCCTACAGGGGTGTCAGCCCCCTCATCGCCAACAGTGACAGTGACAGAGGCTGGAGATGAGGGGCCAGCAGGCTCCAGGGAGTCGGGGGTGGCCTTGGGCAGGGTCTCTTCACTACGGGAGGTGTCCCCCAAAGAACCATGAACTGTAGAGGAAGAGAAAAAGTTCAGAGCTAAGGGTTCAGAAGATCCTGTGTTTAGGGAAGGCGACTGTCCAACTGGGGCCCGTTTTAGCACTCACCTCTCTCAGTGGCTCCTCTTGTCTCCTTTTCCAGCAGCAGCGCCCCCATCTCAGCGGGGGCCTCCCCCTGGGAGGGGAGACAAGGGACAGGAGGGCTGGTCAGCCCAGTAGAGAGTTGGGGGGTCCAGGATGCCTGGGCCCTGGGAAGAGAGAGCAGGCTCCGGGGCCTACCTCTTCCTCTATGGGGGCCCCCCCTTCCGCGGCCTCGGCTGCCCGGAGGGGCCGCACGACCCCTACCCCGAGCCCGCATCAGCCCCCTCCCTCTCGGTAAACCCCGCATCTCTGGGGCCGAGAGAAGAGGAGGGGGAGGGGGCGGGGCCTCCGCGCCCCGGCCCCGCCCCCTCCTCCCGGCTGCACGCGCCGCTCCCCCTTTGTCCCCCAGGCCGCGGGGACCCCGGGCACCAACCCCTCCAGCACCCGCTGCCCCCCAGCCCGGTGGACGGCCCCTCGTGCCCCTCGAGCGTGCTCCTGGGGCCCCGGCGCCCGCCGTCCACTCAGGGGCAGCCGGCGGCTGCACGCGCGCCTCCGTGCCCACTCCCCCCACCTCCCACCCCCTGGTCCCCTCATCCGCCCCCGGTGCTGGCCCCCCGGATTGCTGCAAGTCCCGCCCGGGCCCCCCGGCCCCGTTGCACCCCCGGAGCATTGCACGGGCGCGCGCTTCCCCCGGGCGCGCGCGCGGGCATGCACCCGCCTCTCCCCCTCCCCTTCCGCACCTCGGCGGCCGCCGCCGCTGCAGCTCCCGCCGCCGCCGCCATCGCCGCTTGCGCTGGGGGCCGAGCCGGCGCGCGGCCGCCCCGGGTCACGTGGGCGAGGGAGGGAGGGCGAGGAGGAGCCTTAAAGGAGCCGCTACACGCTTTTTGGCCATTTTCCCCTGAGAGCGGCCTCGGAGATGGCTGTGAATGTCCTAAGCTGGGAGCTGCAAGGGAGAATTCCTGTCATTCCTGGCCTCAGCTCTGCAGGGACCCAGGGCGAGGCACGCCTGGGCCCCAGGTGTGGCGTCTCCGTCCCCATCTGGTTTTAGGTAACAAGCGGAGCTTCTGAACCTCCCGGCTCTCGGCAGCGGCTGTATTTCCTCTGGCTTGCTTGGGCTTTTCCCGCCTCTGGTTGCTTTTCTGCCTTTCTATTTTCTGGGTTGCCAGATAGAAGGCTCGGCCTCAGTTTTGGCCTCGCCTTGCTTTTTTTTTTTTTTTGAGACGGAGTTTCGCTCTTGTTACCCAGGCTGGAGTGCAATGGCGCGATCTCGGCTCACCGCAACCTCCGCCTCCTGGGCTCAGGCAATTCTCCTGCCTCAGCCTCCTGAGTAGCTGGGATTACAGGCACGCACCACCATGCCCAGCTAATTTTTTGTATTTTTAGTAGAGACGGGGTTTCACCATGTTGACCAGGATGGTCTCGATCTCTTGACCTCATGATCCACCCGCCTTGGCCTCCCAAAGTGCTGGG